GAAAATTATGTTTTCTTTCTTCGATTTTTACAACAGCTAATATCATTTTAGGTAATTCTTCTTGGCACTCATCACAAAAAAAAAAAACAACTCCCACTTTTGTCTGAGGATCGTAGGGAAAATCCAGCAGACATATATATAAGGAGAAAAAGTGTGAAGAATAATAGAATTTGACCCTGGAAAAAGAGGTTCAAGAAACAAAGAAGAAAGGAAGATATTGTCTTTGTTCGTGGCAAAAGCTTCCCCAAAAAGAAAGATGGAATAAAAACATTCTTTCAACCTTTGAAATTAGAAAACATTTACAACTTATTCGCAAGTTATATTGAGAAGAGATATAAAATAAAATCTTGCTTCAATAAGTTCTTTCTAATAGTTCCAATATAGAATAGTTTTAAATTCATTCAGTCTGTTCTCTGTCAGATGCAACACACCGTAGAATTTAGTTTCAGTTCAACGTTACGGTTTGGGAAAATGTCTTTAAAATAAAGGAGTAGTTTATTGAGAGCAAATATTTGAAATCAAAGAAATAGTTTCACAAGACAAGAATATAATTGATACAATTGAGCAAACGAAGTCAACATCTTTGAAAGGGAGTACTTAAGTATTTTTATTAAGGGCAGTCGGAAACCTCTATACCGACAATGTTAAATTGGCTGTTTTCGAGGAACATTTTCTCAAAATCTGTTATATGTACATGCTTGAAATTTTTCATATAATTAAAATACACATTTCTCATTATACTCAAATGAGCTTTAGCTAATTTTGAATTTTTTTCATAATTTATAAAATATTTTATCAAACATAGTTTACGTTAACCCGTTTTTCACATAAAAAATTTGTAAAAAATAAATTTTGGGGTTTTTTACAAAAAGCTCATTTCAGTATATATTAGCCATCATTATAAATATATCATAAAAAATTTACATACCTGTGAACAGTAGTTTCTAAGAAAAGGAACATCGAACATCAAAAATTGACATTTTGAGAAAAATTGATTTTAACGTATAATTACTTTTTAGTTAAAACATGCCACCTCCATATTCTAAATCATCAGCATTTTTTAGTAGCTCATCATCTTCTTTCTTCCTTTTAAGTCTTTTTTTCCTTCCTAACTTCCTTTGTTTTTTGTAAACAATAGTATTTTGCTCGTAACAGCCTCTGTTTGTCGAGGCACTCCATCGCTTGTACCGTGTAATCACCAGGCTCAATACACACTTTTCTCAAAATTTCTAGTTTTGATACATTCCCCATATTAAATGAGGAAACTGCATCATATGTACCCAGTGACAAAACTTCTAATTGTACAAATGTTTTCTTCGGTACACGAGACCATATTACATTATTTACACTTTCGTTAGGATTTTGCGTACCTCCATGTAAACACTTTTTAGCAATTCTGGATTAGCTAAATCCCTAAAAACAGGTCGCATGGCCTCCACAACATCCACAGGTAAACTATTTTTGTGATGATAAGTCTCCCCAAGCAATTCTGCTTTTTTAAATTTGCACCACGTATCTGAATCAGAGGGACAAAATCCATGCTGAGGTTTTTCATCGGTTGATAGCTTGTGTAAAAATATTGCCCATATGGCTTGTTGCATGTCCTTCACGCTAGACAAATTTCTGCGGATAGCTAGACCATAATATGCTTGCAGACGGTCGATTTCTGCCTCTGTCAATCTATTTCTTCCGCATAAAGGCTTTCCGTCAGAAAGTTTTTGTCCTCTCATCTTAGTTTTCAAGCGTCGAAGACGTGTCCCCATTCTTTTCATAACATGACCTATGCATTCTAATTTCTCGACAGAGCAATGGTCACCATATACTTTGTTCTCGACAATAGAAGTAAACGCTTTGGAGTCTCCATCTCCTAAATATTTTGTGTACCGAACATTGTAGAGAGACTGGGAACGCTGAAAAATGGATAGAGCTCCAGCTACTTCCATCTTACCGCTGTAGCCTTCAAAATTTCTCTTACAATTTTGAAGATGCTTGGTTTTGTTCGGACAAATACAATGTTTTGAAAAAACTTCGACATCTATAACTTTGCCGGTATCAACACTTGTGACTGTCACCAAGCCATTCTTCGAAGAAAAACCACGCTTCTGCCAGCTACCATCAACAGCAACAGCAAGGTCCCTTTTTCCATCATTTTCATCAACGGCTTCACGAACAGCTTCTGCCATACTGTGTTCACAGGTTTCTCTTGTTGCCTGCAGTAAAATGTGGTTGTACTTTGAGAATTTTGTGGGTGGCGGGGGAAGATTCATGATACCGCAAAACATCCTAGCAGACTCAGCACCTTTACCTATGCATCGCATAGCATACACTAGCCGGGTATTCAGTTCGTAATTCTCAGAACTATCGCATTTCTTGGAGTTAAAAAGTATAGTTATATTTACAAGAAGGACATTTTAAGTGAAACTTCACAGCTTCACCACAGTTACTTTCACTGAGGTGCAACCTGAGTCCTGTTTTTTCACACTTTATACATTTTACAGCTTCAAAAACACACAAGCTAAAAGATTAATGTCCACAATAACATTTCTGAAACCAGAAAAAGCCTCATCCGAATATGAAATATCCATGTTTACAATTTTTCTCTCACTGGCAGATGGTTCAGTTTCATTAGTACAAAGCTTTGCACCATCAGCACAATTTTTTCATCAGCAGAGTTCTTTGGAACAGTAGAATTGCTTTCACTACAACCATCATTACTTTTATTACATCTTCCTTTATTAAAAACTCCTCTTCGTTTCTTAAATACTTTAGTCGATGCTCTAGGCATAGTAAAATCGATATATTATAGCAATTTTTTTGAAAGTTTAAGCTGAATAATGTTAAAGAATACTTGCGAGTTCAAAATTACAACTCAGTTTTGAAAGTGTAAACAAACACTGATTTGACCGTTAAAAATACAGTGAAGTTTCAAATGGGTTAGGAAATAAAATAATAAAAGGCTCAATTTATACAATAAAAGATAAATGTTTTGATTTATACCAGACCCTCAACTTTTAAGCCAAAACAAAAACTTTGTTTACTTTTACGCTTGTCAAATGGGCGTGGCCCAGTTTCAACGATTATTTAAAAATAGGTTTTTAGGGCTTCTACTTACCCTAGAGGTTAAAGTAAGGTATTTTTAGAAAGGTTAAAATCTGTACTATGTGGAAATGTAAAAATCTCAAATTGTCAAAAAATCAAATTTTACCTTTCCGACTGCCCTTAAATAATTGTGTGTGTGTGTGTGTGTGGATATGCCATGGTGGCGTCATAGTTATAATATCAATGAAGAACTTGCGTTATTTGCTGTTTACATGAAATACCAATTTAAAATAGAATGTATTGTATTAAAAAATAATACTTTATTACCTACTGTATCAAATTTAAAAAGAGCATTTGTAGTTGAATTTTGTCATATAAATAATAAAAATAAAATTTATTTTACTTGGAGCTTGTTTTACTGATTATATCAATGCTCTACCTCATAGCAAATAATATAAACAAATTAAGTCCATTCCTACTTCGGTCAGCAAAGAAAAAAATTTATTTTAGTTTTTTTTTAATAAATAGTTACAATTGATATAAATATGTGTATACACTGAAGAGCCAAAAAACTGGTACAGGTATACGTATGAAAATAAAGAGATATGGAACCAATCAGAGTACGGCGCTGTGGTCGGCAAAGCCTATATAAGACAAGAAGTATCTGGCACAGTTGTTAGACAGGTTACTGCTGTTATAACGACAGGTTATGCAGATTTAAGTGAGTTTGAACTTGGTGTTATAGACGGCGCACGAGAGAAGAGACACAGCATCTCCGAGGTAGCTATGAAATTTGGATTTTCATGTACGACCATTTCACGTGTGTATCATAAATATCGGGAATACGGTGAAACATCAAATTTACGACATCGCTGCGGCCGGAAAAAGATCATGAAAGAACGGGACCATCGACGACTGACAAAAATCATTAAGCGTGACAGACGTGCAACTCTTCCACAATTGCTGCAGATTTTAATACTGGGCCATCAATAAGTGTCACCGTGCGAAACATTCAACGAAACATCATCGATATGGGCTTTCGGAGCCGAAGGCCCTCTCATGTACCCATCTTGAATGCACGACACAAAACTTTACGCCTCGCCTGGGCCCGTCAACACCGACATTGGACTGTTCATAACTGGAAACACGTTTTCTGGTCTGACTAGTCTGGTTTCCAATTGAATCGAGTTGAGGGACGCGTACGGGTATGGAGATAGCCTCATGAATCCATGGACTCTACATGTCAACAGGGGACTGTTCAAGCTGGTGTAGGCTCTGTGAGGGTATGGGGCGTGTGCAGTTCGGGTGATATGGAACCCCTGATACGTTTAGATATGGCTCTGATAGATGAAATGTACATAAACATCCTGTTTGATCACCTGCATCCATTCATGTCCATTATGCATTCCGACGGATTTCGGGAATTTCAACAGGACAATGCGACTACCCACACGTCCAGAATTGCTACAGAGTGGCTCCAGAAGTACTCTTCTGAAATTAGACACTTCCGCTCGCCACCAAAATCCCCATACATGAACATTATTGAAGATATCAGGGGTGCCTTGCAACGTGCTGTTAAGAAGAGATCTTCACCCCCTCTTAATTCTACTTATTTATGAACTGTCTTGCAGTATTCATGGTGCCATTTACTTTCAGCACTATTTCAGATATTAATCGAATCCATGCCACGTCGTGTTGTGGCACTTCTGCGAGTTCGTGGGGACCCTACATGATATAAGGCAGTTGTACCAGTTTCTTTGGCTCTTCAGTGTACATATGACAGTCACAATATTAAGAGATAAAGTATAAAATGCTTTTTTTTTATATTTTCCATTCTATACAGGTTGTTGGATTATCTTTTTGTTTGTTACAATTTACACACACACACATTCATTAATTAAATTTAATTATTTTAATAAAATAAAACAGTAAAAAGGAAATCACATTCTCAGAAATTCTATTATCCCAGGTGGGATTCGAACCCACAACATTCGGATTAGAAATCCAACGCGCTATTCATTGCGCTACAGGGATACAAATAACGGTTTTCCTATCTATATATTCTGTTGGGGTATTATTTTTGTTCGGTATTATTTATTCATTTTTTAGTTTAATAAATGAATAAATATTTGAAAAAAAAACTGTATTAGCATCAAGTACCAACCACTATAAGTTTTAAAAAATGTATTTAAACTTGAATGGATTAATAGAAAGTATTTTATTAATGATTGAAAATTTGAAAAAGGTTATATATATATATATATATATATATATATATATATATATATATATATTAGGGAGAGAATGAACTAAAAGTAGGAATTGAAAAAATGAGCAGAAAAAAGAATACGTAACTTATTAACCTTTACAAAACGGACAGTTGGTGTATCAACTGAAACTAACAGCCTCTTAAAGGGGCGGGTTTGGTCTTTGCTGAATATCACGCTGTCTGTCAAAACCCATGGAAGTTCTCCCGTTTCCTGTTCTTGATTGATTGATTTATAATGTGAGGCTTTGAAACGGCGAGAACTATTGGTGACAGATAGCATGCTTTTTAATCCAAGGTCAAATGACGAGGATGATAGTCTCAACGGACCAGGACTCGACAGGAACAAAGTTGGTCTCGATTTCGTGACCAAGACTAGTCAGCTACTGGATCAAAAAGCAGTTCTCAGAAGTTAAATTACTTTACTCGTTGTTTCGTTAAAATAAAGTATGAGTCATACGAAACCTCTGAACTTGCATGTGTTTGAGTGATAAGAGAGTTAGCAATGGTAATATACTTCTAACAGTACACTTGTTCCACAATAATTATCAATACTAATTATGAGGTAGCTATGAAATTCTTGATTGTTTTCAATAAAAAGTTACAGTATTAGTTTAGAGAGAAATATTACTCTCATTACATTTAAAGACGTCTTTCAATTTCTATTACCACACACTCTCTATACATTTAACTTGGTGGAATTTTCAATCGTTAATAAAATACATTTTAAAGTGCTCAATTGAGCTGAAATTGTATATACATGATTATTTTGGATGACAATATAGTAATTTAATTATAATTAATAAAAATTAATTGATTAAAACTAATTATTCATAGAATTACAAATACAGCCACGTTGGCATAATTTTTGCCAATTTAGTGACCCTTTTGGTGACTTATGTCAAAACTTTTTCTCACATTTTTATGTGTGGCCGAGGTAAACGAGTGGTATAGGTATCGGATTGGGGCTTGCTTTGTCACGAGTTTGATTCCAGTACCACTAAAGACCTGCCGTGAAGGGCAGCGATGCACGTTAAATCTGTCGAGAGCTGAAACGTCCTCCCGTTGGTGGGGTGTGGTAGTTAGGAGAGGGGGTGCCAGCTCAGGTGTCGTCCACGTCACTTGAGCATGGTTCAAAATTACGTGGTCCGTCGCCAAAAGCCCCCGTGTAGTTGAGCAGTACGACGTTAATATTTAATCAATCAATCAATCAATCAATCACATTTTAAAGCGCTCAACTGAGCTGAAATTTTCTATACACTATTGTTTTGGGTAAAAATACGATAATTTAATTATAATTGATTAAAATTAATTGACTGAACATAATTATTTAAAGAATTACAGATAACAGCCAGGTTGGTTTCAATTTTAGCGACTTGGGTCAAAATTTAAAAAAAAAAATTCTCACGTTTTAAAGCATTTAGTTGAACTGAAGTTTTATATACGCGAGACTATTTCGGATGACAATACGATACTTTAATAATAATTAACAAAAACTAATTACCACTTAATATTGTGATTGTGTCATATGTATATACATTTTTATATATTAATTGTAACTATTTAATAAAAAGTAGCTAAAATAAAATTTTTCTTTGTTGATATAAGTAGGAGTTTTCTTAATTTTTTTTTAATATTACCTGTTTATTGTGCAAAAACGTAAGGAATTAAAAAAAATATTAAAGAATATATATAATTTTAACAATAGAGAAAACTGAAGTGTGACACAAAGTTTGAATTTTAAGTTAAACTGCATAACCCAGAACGTAATGAAATGTAAAACAGATGTTCATCAATATTTCTGCTTAAATTACTTGTTTTAAACAACGGAATCTTTTTCTTATTATTGCAATTTCAAAACAGCTTCTTCATTTATCTAACATCCTATTGTCCCATAACATTTCATTTAAAATATTTTAATCTAAATTCTAAAAGACCTTAATATATTCTTCCTTCGCAATGTACCAGCCTCGGCATTCTAATTTATTCTTTCTTGTAACAAATGGATGAAATGAAAAAAAGTAATTTAAAAAAGGTAAAAAGGTTCAAAATTAATGATCCCGCTGAAAGAATTTCATTTATTTTTCTTTTTTCGGATCAAGATTTAAAGGAAGAGTTGTGATCTAGGACCACAATCTGTTACACTCCTCTCCTGAAGTAATTGGTCCCTTCGCCGTTACGTGCCACTGGGGTCCAATCAAATAATTCAGTCTTTCTTTTCTTTTTTTGCTGCTGGTACTTGATAAAGTATGCAGTTTCTATTTTTTATGAACTTTGTTTAGTCTTAAACACTTTTTTCTTTTTGAAAATTCGAATGGATGTAAATATTCTTTTTAATCCCTTAAGTGCCATCGGCGTATATATTCGTCTTGCTCAACCATCACGTGCCCCTTGCGTATATATCCGTCCTACCAAAATACGACTATTTTCTTTGCACGTCTATCAGTAAAACCTATTGCGATTGTTTTGGAATGTAATAATATGACCTTGAAGGCGTATGCAAAGGATTTACTTACTTCAGACAATAATTTGCTTATTTGTGATTTGTCTCCCCCCCCAATATACCCGCCTATGTAAAAAAAAAACGGTGGCACTGGGGAGCGTACCGCATAAATTTTGATTGGCGCAGTGAAGGGGTTAAATAAAAAAAATATGCCAATGCTTTTATAATAAGTTATGTACTGGGAATATATGAATTGGCAACGGCTTTTTTTTCTAACACGAGTTTAAAAATTTATCGGAAGTGGTAAGGAAGCAGTCATGGTCGCGAAGAACTAGTGCCAGAGAGAGTTGTCGAGTTGAGAATTCGAATGCTAGTACTTTAATGATGCATCAGGTAATGGAATAATGATCATTAAATTTGTAGAGGATCAAAGTCCTCACGTTGGTGTGGAAGTTTAAAGAGTGGGCTGTAAATCATGTGTCGTTCTCAGCAAATGATCTTGATTCAACGTCGCCAATAACCCTTGAGGAGCGTCAAAGTTCGAAGTAAGAACAAAAGACGAGAATATCGGCTCCGTTTCAAAATTAATAGATTCAATCTACACTGCAGGGTGATTCATAACGAAGCATATACTTTCATGTTTTCATGCTACTTTCAACAGAAATATTTGGGGTTATTTTGAATTTTGTTAGAGACACAGTCACAAATATTCTGAGTTCCTTTGTCCCTCCGCACATATCGAGCCGTTAATCCGTTTCCGCCCTAATGCATGCTAAAGTATATGGATCAAGGTCATCAATAGTGTTAGTCATACGCTGTTTCAGCGCTGTTCGATCAACAAGAAGAGAAGGGACGAATACGTTTGCCTTTACATACCCCAGCAGGTAGAAATCACAACGTGTTAAGTCAGGATTTCTGGGTGGTGATTGGGTAAGTCACATGTTGCAGTCAGCGATTCGTCGAATCTATTGGTGAGAGAAATGGTCATTCAGGTAATGTAGGACATTGGCCGACTAGTGTGATGGTGCACCATCCAATTTTTCAATGTTTCCTGCAACGGTAGCACAACCAGAGAGAGCATATCCAAAAAAGTGGCTCCCGTGACAGTTTGTTAAATTCAAGAACACAATAAGCCTTTTCCGCAGCAGACGTAGCCATTTCGACTGATTAGTCACACTACACGTATGCTATTGTATTCGTCTCTTCCGTCTCTCCGCTAAGCGGTTAAGGGGACAAGATTTAACCCCTTAACCGCTTCCCTTACAAATGTTTTTGAAAAAAGTTGCAAAAAATCGTCACATTTTTTTAATTTTATATTAAAATACAAGGGAAAAAAACGAAACAAAATATGTAGGTTTTAAGTTGAACTTTAAATTTTTTTTTACAGGTGTAAAAGCATTTAGTTTTAATATTAGTTTACTATCCCGAGTTATCTCGGGTAAATGGAAAAACAAATATTAGTCTTTGTATGATAGTTTTTGAAACCAGGGACAACACACAAAGATATCTGACATTCTGCACACTTTTATCTGGTCTCTTTTCATACTGGCTTACCTCTGTAATCTCTTTTACGGAAGCGCAGAGTACACTATCTACTGGATTTAATTTTTTTTCAGTAGCAGGAATAACATCTGGAAAATCTCCTGAGGCTAACCTGACTGATGAAGAAATAATGCTGGGTCTTCCTGAAGGGACAAAAATCTCATCACGATGATTTTCTGAAATTATTTTTTCAATCAGTTCCATTCTAAATTGTTTAGGTGATCATGAACCTCCCAATTTAATGTACAAAATGCTGGCTACATACCGAAGAATCACTTGCACTTTTTTCAATGTCCACATCTTCATAATCACTATCTGAAAAATCATCGCTTTCGCTATCTTGTATCATCACAGTTATTTTACTTCTTTTCAACGGAACTTCTCTTCTTTATACATTACTAATTCACAAGCTGACGTGTTCAGTACAAACGAGAAAACACGTGATCTGTCCCACTCAAAGATCTACGAAAACAACAAAATCTGTCAATTATAGCCTCCAGGCTGAGTAAAACCATGATAAAATAAATCGTACTGACAAATTCTGCTTCACCAGAGTTTTCTCAGGATGGTAATTAACTGTACTATTTACAAACTCCAGATAACTCGGGATAATCAGGCAAGTGGTTAAGTGCCACGGGCGCGTGTATGCGTCATGCTGAGCTGTTGCCTTTAATGCCCGGACATGTATACTCATCCTTCCAAAGGAGGAGATTTGTGCCGTGCTGCTCTATTTAAAACTAGTTCCACGGCTTTAGAATACAATAACATGACATTGATAGTGCT